GAGGGGAAGGCGCGCCCGCCAGCCACGGAGAGGGGACTAGGGGAAGGGATAAAAAAAATAGAAGACGACGACGACGAGGAGGAGGCGGCGGGAGGGGGGGAATTTCCCCCTCTCGCCTGCCTTCTTCCAGGGAGAAACTTACATAACTCCGCTGCAAGGCCTGCTGGGAGGTGTAGTTTTTGCAACCTGGCTTGCAGAGCGGGAGGGGAGGAGGAGGAGGAGGAGGAGGGAGTGCCAGGAGCCCTCGCTGGCAAGGGCGAGGGGGCATCCAGGAGGGGTGGCAAAGGGGATCTTGGGAGGGAGTGGGGTCCTTGCTAGGGATGGAAAATTTCGGCCAAGGTCCATTTTTCTCCGGGGGGGGGGAACCCAAGGGGAAAAAAGGATTCCCCCCCCATTTTTTCGTGTTTTCCCCTTGGAAAAAGTGAAATTTTGGGACATCTTACATCTCTAGAGAGAACTTAAATACACAAAGTCTCTGTAGTCCTTCATTCAAGTCCTTGTGTTATATAGTTTGAATACCATGTTGTAGACATACAGTATTATCATTGTAAAAGAACATATTCCACACTTCTCCCCCCCCCCAATTTTTCCAGGGGGTGGGAAGTGCATGTCCCCCCCCCTTAATTTTCCATTTTTTTTCCTCCCCAGGCCTTCCTGTCTCTTGTCGGAGCAAGAACGAACCCTCGGAGAAGCACAAGGGCAGAGCCTGGAGAAATTCTGGGTACAGGGACCCTTTCTGGGCGTTTTTGGAGAAAAGCAATTAAAAACAAACTGGCGATGTAAAAAAAAAGGGGAGCAAGATCATAACTTGCAACATGCTTTCCTGGACTAGAATCCACATTATCACCGACTACAGAGAGTTTTTATTCCCAAAGCTGTTTCTTTGTTGCAAAGGAAAAGTTCTTTTGTGCTCAACTGAAAGATGGTTGTTGTTTTATACAAAGTTTAAACAAACAATTTTAGGGGAACGGAGGATGTCCTTTCCAACCCCTCAGTTAAATTATTGCAGTTAATCAGCTCCTTGTTAAGAGGCTGAGTGGTTTTCTCTGCCTGATTTATTGCTGCAGGCCTTATGCTTTTACTTGCTGGGAGTAACCACCACTACCACCTTCAACTCACATGAATTTCTTCACTTCCTTCAATCGGATCATTTTTAAATACTTTTCTTAATGCCGTTTCATCTCGGCCTGGATCCCAACTGGTGACTTTGGTCAATTTAGCAAGCTTTCAGATTGCACAGAGTTCTTCATCCAGAATTCCCCAGCCATGTTTACACCTACACACAGCAGCCTGTAAAGCCAGCTAAAGCAACCATCTGGGCACATTTGCACGGTTTTGCTGATGCTGGATTCGGTGTACAGAAGGGAGGTGGTAACTGCCAAGTTTAGATCCTCACAGAATTATTTTTCACAAAGAAGTCGATGGAACATAAAAGTGGACATGGTTTGTAACTGTTAGGCACGTGGGCCCTTTGTCAAGCCAAGATCCTCGGCTTCCAATTTTAGGGGATTTTTAAAATCCCAAATTATGTGCATATTTTGAACGCATGAAATGGCAAGTATGTTACCTTTAAATTAAAAATGAATGGCACTTCCCCCAAATTTGATTTTTAACATTTTTATTTGCTTCAGTTTAGACCTTGTGCAGGCAACTGGTCTTTATCTTAAACTTGCTTTTCATTCTTCTCATAGTTTTAATATTACCTAATAGAAATTATTTTGCTTTTATAGAAAGCCAACTTATCTGTAGGCCCAGGTATTATCTGTAGGTCCAGGCCTCCTGATGCCTTCTTTGGGGAGAGAGACTAAAGAAGCCTTTCTATCCCCTTTTAATGAAACCTTGAAGGGTTAATTAGATGTAAGACGCAAGAACTACATTTCCCAGGTTGCCTGGCGCCGCTAGGGCCCGGATGCTGTTGCGCATTTCCGGTCCCCTCTGCTTCCCCTCTGGTTCAGCTTTGGAAGGGGTCGTTAAGGGGGTTACTGACAGACGGAGGAAAAATACAGTTGCAAAGTCCAGATCTCCTGGAAAAAGATATTTTTATTTGCAAATTATTGCATATATTATTTCTCTACCCAGATTCAGACTGAAAGCCACTTGGGTCCAGCAGCATAGGGACACCAGTGATGGGTGCATGTCAAAGCAACAGCAAGAACAGAGGACTGAAAGGTTGAACTGGGCATCAATAGATCAGTATTTGCACTTGGAAATAATATACAGGCTTCAAATCCCTAGTAAACTCTGCAGAACACCAGCAGGCTCTCTCCAAATATAAGCTCAACAAATCTGGGTCTGGGGTTTTTTTGGGGGGGGTTGTTCTTTAGAGGTGCTTTTGATCTAAAGAGAAAGAGTTAACTTGGTCTGTGTGTTCAAGGAGCACTGCATGATACAAACTCAAGGGATTTACAGAATAATTGAGAGTACTGTAATAGGATAGTACGGGAAACCTAGCAAGTGTCTTGTGAATTCCTTGCTACTTGAACATGACCGTTAAAGCACATTGATAAGCGATGTTGAAGGGAATGCAGTATTCTCAACCTGCAAGTACTTGAACTTATAAATGGAGTTTTAAAACAAACTGACGCGTTTTTTTAAGTGTTTCTAAACTGCCTTTCTACTCCATAGTCCTTGTGTGCTGTAATTTGTGTTTTAACACTTTAATCTTTTGTTCGTCTTTAACGATACCTGTTTTCACCTTGCTGGGCACCACCTTAAGTTCCAGTCCTTGGAGAAAAACGTGATATAATAAAACGGAATTTTCTTGTTGTTCTGAGCAGAAAACATGTATTTGCACGTTTGCTGCTCTGATCACACACAAATTAATTCCCTCCCCCGTTATTCTACATTTACCTTTAGCCTAGCATCAATTATTTTACCTTTTCCTGTTGGTGTAGCAACTAATCAATCAATCAATCAATCAATCAATCAGTCTGTCTATCTATCTGACAGCTGGTGACATGATCCTCCCCCGTTATTCTACATTTACCTTTAGCTTAGCATCAATTATTTCAACCTTTCCTGTTGGTGTACCAACTAATCTATCTATCTATCTGATAGCTGGTGACATGATTCCAAATTAAAAACAGAAATAAAAGCATGCCATTTCTGTTGGTGTGGCACCATGCAAACTTCTGAGCACTACAAAATTTTCCTATGCAATGAACTCTGTCAAACCTGAAAGTCTGCACATTCTTGTGTCTGAAGGTCCTGTTGGTACTTATAAGCCTAGAACCTGATATTCCCATCTTTTAACGTGTCCTGACATTCCCATTTTAAAAAGGGCTGCTCTTAACATTCCTTGATGTAAAGGTCTCTGATACTTTCCAATGGATTCTCCCTAATCAGAGATTAGATGGGTTCCATGGAGAAATCGGTTTCCTAATGGTGGCACTTGTTTTTTTGTTTGAATACTTTGCTAAAGAGACCTGCCTCACACTAAATTTGATTTAAATTGAATGAAGACTCAGAAGAAGTCAGCCTTCCTGCACTTTTCACTGTTGTGTCTTGAATACAATTACTGTCTCCTATTACTGCTTTAGACCTTTTAAAGTTTGGTCTGAAAACCTAATTTTCCGATTCACTGCCTCGTCTCCCTGTTGCTCTCACTGTATTTTGGAGAGGGTTTGAATATTTATGTCATGAGCTGTCTTGATAGGTTCAATTGAAATGGGATTTTTGATGGGAAGTGATGAGAAAAACATTTATTTTATTGAAACCTGTAGGTGGTCTCAACCTTTTGAGCATCGGCGCTTATATAGGTCAGGCCAGCTTCCCTCTCCTCCAAGTTTTAGTTTGGAAACGTGCTTTCGGTCAAATTAGCCTGTCATTCGTCCGAAACTCATGCAACACACACAAAAAACCATATTACTGTTATTGTTCTTCCGTGTTGTTTCCTTATAGACTGTAAGCCCCCAACAGCTAGGGACGTATCATCCTATACACTGTAAACCATCCTATACTCTCATGGTGCTACATAAATAAGTAATAATAATAATCCTCTGTTCCTACTGTCAACTTTTAAACTGCAGTCTTAACCATCACTGAATACAGTGGAATTTTATTAAGCCAACACGCAGCCACTTTTTCTTGATGCTTTATATATGTTGCAAGCCCACAGACCTAAGTTTACCAGTTTATTTTTATATGCTGCCCCGGCTGATGGTTAGACGGCTAAATGTGCCCTAGCGCGGTGATCCCAAACCTCTGGTCCTCAGGAAGTTTTGGACTTCGATTTCCAAAAGCCTCAGCCAGCATGGCCAGTGGTCAGAAATTTGGAAGCCCGAAAACATCTGGATAATTGGAGTCTCAAAACTATTGGGCTAGAAAAACCTGATTATAAGTCTCTCCTGTGGTCCTAGGCAAAATATATATATATATTTCTCTCTTTCACATACACACCGCTACACAGCTAGGCTCCATTCCTCATCATATAATGGAAATAACTGTGCCATGTTCCCCTTATAAATGGAATTAAAATACTTTACACTGGAGTGCAACAGTGGTGAAGTGTATTGTGAACTGTATCTTAATAAGTGGGGGAAGTTTCCATTCTTGTCTATCTGCTTTGCCTTATATACGGCGCAGCTGCTTCTCTCCGCATTACAGCCACAGATAAAATTCTATAAATGCAAGGGAAATCTGGTACGAAAATAGTTTATTGAGCTTCCACTGGCATGGGATTTAGCAGAGGAAGGGGGCATCCTCCGGCTGGTTAGACTGTGGTCATCTAAGGCAGCTGCTCCTCCCTCGAGGGTTGCAAGCTGCACTCTGCTTGGTTCCTGAGCAGACAGAGGTGCCAGGTTGGGACCCTGCGGGGTGGAAACCAGCCAAATCACCCCAGGCTTCACAAGATCAAGCATGTTTCAGAGGCAAAGGCAACTGGGATGGAGCTTGGGTGCTGTTGGAATTGCCGGTCCTTGTTTCTCAGCACTGCATCATTCCTAACCAGCTTCTCCCTGAACTTTTCCAGCTGTTTACAGTGGTCAGTGAAGCACAGATCTGCACAAATCTGTGAGCCGACAATCTGTCTATGGTGGTCAACGGCAGGCTCAACAAAAGCTTCCTAGAAGTGTCTACAGTGGGTGTGGTCACTTGGGGTCAACGGCAGGCTCAACAAAAGCTTCCTGGAAGTGTCTACAGTGGGTGTGGACACTTGGACTCCAACTCCCAGAATTCTGCATTCTGGACGTTCCATCTGGCAGACACCTAAAGGTCGCTCACCTGGAGAAAGGCCTAGCTTCCTGTTTAAAAAGGAAGCTGCCCCAGTGCTTTCAGGGAAAGAGGCAGGCTTTTTTCCAGCTGAGCAAAACTTAGGTGTCTGTAGTGTGGAACTCAGAGGACAGAGGATTCTGGAAGCTGGAGTCAAAGCAACAACAACATCGAAACAGCACACTCCCTTGTGTCTACATGACACAGTTATAGTCGCCTGAGGCCGTTTTAATGGCCATGCCTCCATCCTATGGACTCTTGAGGCTGCCGTTTCATGAGGAACTTAGAATTCTCCGCAGAACACCCTAAGTTCCTCACCTAACTCTAGGAGGAGAAAGTCCTAACCATTAAAAGTGGCATCAATCTGCTGTAACTGTGTCATACAGACGGGGCACTTGGTTCCATCGCCTTCCTGGCACCTGGAGGCTCTCGGAGACGGTTGTTCTGCAGACAGCTGAGGGGAGAGCTGCGTTTGATTTGGTGGGTGTCACGTCGGGCCAGTAGGACAACCCCTCATAACAAACATGATGCACAGATGTGCGGGGAAGCAGGACCGTGCTTTGTAAAGGGCACAAACTTGCATGGTTCATGGGGTGGCAGCAAGGAACTCCGAGGTTTGTAAAGGGCACAAACTTGCATGGTTCACGGGGTGGCAGCAGGGAACTCCAAGGGTGTGTGTGTGTGTGTGTGCAGGAAAGTCACTTAAGGCCTCACCCTCTCCAGGAGGCATGCATCCCTCCTTCCCCTCTCTCCCTGTGCTGGGGGTGGGGGAACAGCAGCAGGTCCTTCCGAGCAAGGATGCTCACACGTTCTTCCAGCGCCCCCTGCGTTTGCGGGTGGGGATCCCCTTCCTCCCCTTTTGGGGAGGAGGGACCCGGGTTGGGGACGTCCCAGTTTCAGCCACTACGGGCTGTCCTTCATCTCCTGGAGACCTAGCCTCGTACTCTTCCGGCTCCAGGGAGGGTTCCACCTTGGTGGTAAAGGCGTCTCTGGGAAGCAGCGTCTCCGAGGAAGGAGGTGGTGCCGGAGCAGGGATCCCCTCCTGCGGAGGCGACACGTTATTCGTCTGAACCGGAAGGAGGGGGAGCAGAGCTGCCACGATGTCGGTCAGCCGCTCCAGGCCTTGCCGTAGGGTGTAGTTCAGCTCGCGGATGGCTTCAGCGGTCTCTCTCTGGGCTTGCAAGAAATCCAGAGGAGGCTCGCCAGCGGGGTCAAGGCAGGTGCGCCGGCGCCGTGGCAGCGGGGACGTCGAAGGGCACGGGGTGGCACCCGGCGGCTCCATGGGGGAGGGTTCAGCGTGTGGTCCGCAACCCAAGCTGGCCGGAGACGGAGCCAGCTGGACAATCTGCAGCGACGCGGGCTGGGCTGATGGGGGCGCCGGTGAGTCACGTTCCTTGGGTCTCAGCAGGCCCCCATCTAGAGAGTAGCAGGAAACCCGGTGGGCCGAAGTCTTTGGGCTGCAGGATGACGGGTGGCCCCCGGCCGGTATCTCTGTAAGGGAAAAGGAGGAGGTTTGACATTCAGTAACCTTTTCTCCAGGGAAGGTTTTTCCCTCTCGACACTAATCTGACCCTCCATCGGATGTACAGGAAAAAGGGCAGATAGACGAGGCCGAGTTGTCAATGTTTTAATTGCAACAACTGCTTGTGGGCCCTCAGGGGCCCAACGCGGCTAACATAAACAGCTTACTTTGCCCAGTTATTTGACGTAACCCACTTGCATGCAGAATTCCATGAACCTTAAGCACAGATGCACGAGAGGAGGCTCTTAGTTTCACTGAAGCTCAGGGGTCGATAACGTCTTGATGTGAGAGAACTTCTGCAATGTTCTCTGACTCTCTATTTTTATCCTATTATTGATTTAATTCCGACACCGCTGCTCTCTCGAGTTCCAGCCGACAGATTCAAACCAACAGACGTCTAAATTTCACTCACCTGGAGAAAATCCTAGCTTCCTCTTAGCTAGCCCTATAGGCCAGCTTCCTTTTCTTAACAGGAAGCTAGGCGGGAGCTAAGCCTTTGAACACAAGCAAGGAGTCTGAACACATGTGGCTGTCCCACAGCTCCAACCACTTTTAATCTGGCTTCAAACACCGACTGTATCGATTCCTCAGATCACATCTACTCCTTGATGGGCTGATTCAGTTTGGGCAAAAAGAAAAAAGAAAAGCACGTGATAACAGATCTTTCTGGGCTGTATCGCTCAGAAGCTGGGTCAGTAAACACACCTTTAAAGGCCACTTCCCCATGTCTAAAAACATCCATGCCCATGAAGTTTAACTTGTCAGAAAAAAGTTAAGGCAAAAAAAAACCCTTAACTTTTTCCTGGGAATGGCTAGCATTTCCTGGGAATCCTAGCTTGTTCCCAAGACAAGGAACTAAATTTTCTTTTAAACACGGGGGAGCCTTCAAATATGTCCTGTCCTGCCTACCAGAGCATGTGCAGAGTACCTTGCCTATGCCCTAAACATGAGTCCTGTTTAGAACGAGCAAGGGGGAAACTAAAGTCATGGTTTCTGAGATAATTGTCTATTTGTGTGTCTTAGGAAGGAAGAAAAGGAGGAAGGGAATGGGAGAAAAGAGGGTAACCGCATGGTTTCTGAGATAATTGTCTATTTGTGGGTCTTAGGAAGGAAGAAAAGGAGAGAGGAAGGGAATGGGGGAAAAAGAGTGTAACCAGAAAACTGAGCGCACAGTGTGTGGATGCGCGGTGCATAAGTCTCCAGTTCATTCAGATGTCTGCCTAAGTTGAACAGAACATGAGAGGTTATGAATCCACTGCCTTAATTAAAAAAGGAATGCTTTAAAGCTTTGCTAACTCACTGAGCTAGGCATCTGCAGAGCCAGAGGTTGGGAGTTTGACTCCCCATTTTGTGCATCTCTAGAGGTTGGGAGTTTGACTCCCCACTTTGTGCATTGCTGAAAAGCCAGCCTGGGTGGCCTTGGGGAAGCTGCCCAGTCCCAGGGCACCCCAGGAAGAAGAAGAGGAGAAACCACTTCTGGGGATTCTCTACCTAGAAAACCCCAAAAAGGGTTGCCGTGAGTCAGAATTGACTCGACAGCACAGGATTGTTCTTATTATTTCACCAAAGTGATGTTGCCAAGGTTGTGCAGCCCCTGGTGCACATCTATACAAACGCCTGCATGTGAAGGCTTGTGTCTCAGGAACCGCTCTGTTACCGCACCAACCTGTCATTATTTCTTCTAACATTTCAGAACATATGTCCCCCCCCCCCCCCGCCGATAGGGGAGCAATAATTCAAATAAGGGGACCTGGCTGGCTGGATAGCTCAGTGAATTACGTCTCTGCTTGGGGGTTTGATTCCCCCCTTGGCCTCGGGGGAAAAGAGCCAACCTGTGAAGCCTTGGGCAAGCTGCCTGGTCCCAGGGCACCCCCAGAAAAAAAAGGACAGGCAAACCTCTTCTGAATACTCCGTACTTTAAAAGCCCTGGAAAGGGATGCTATAAGTTGAAATATTCTTGATGGCTCTTAATTATTATTATTAAGGCCCTAGATGTCATCAGAGGTTTTTTTAACTAGCCTTTTAGCACTAAAGAGGTCCCCTACGGTGAATAAAAAGGCACACCGATGATGCTCAGAAGCACATTTATTATTTCCCATTGTCCTGGGACATGCTCTGCGTCCACTTAAGCAAAGGCTGAATCCTCTTCTCCCTTTTCCCTCTAGAACCGGGTTGGGCACGGCGTACCCTTCCAGCTGACCCCAGACTGCAACTCCCTCATCCATCAGCCTTAGCCAAGCACAGCCAACAGTCTGGAATACTGGGATATGTAGTCCCAGCACATCCAGAGCAGGGGTCCCAGCTGTTGTTGGGCTTTTCAGAATCCTCTTCCCTAATATTATCAATGGCCAGGCATTCTGGGGATTGTAGTCGGACAGCAGCTGGGGGAATCTTCATCTGAGACCAGGGTGGTGTGGTGGGCAGAGTGTCACACCAGGATTCGGGAGTCCTGGGTTCAAATTCCTAATGAACCACAGAAATTCACTGGGGGAGTAGAACTGGGAACCCCACTCCTTAAATATCTCACCCTGTCCTATTACGGTCCCTATAAGTTGTTTCCAATTTGATAGCACATAATAACTGCAGACCAGCACTGTGCCCGCTCTTGCTTTGCCAAGAGCACATAGAGGGTTGCTTGCCCCCCGCACCTCGATATGGATAGCTCAGGGGCTTCGGTCTTTGGCTGCAAAGCCAGAGGCTGGGAGTTCGATTCCTCACTAGGGCCTCCTTGTCAGGGGCTGCACTTGATGATCCCTGGGGGTCCCTCCCAGCTCTGCAGCTCTAAAGTTATTATTATTCAGAAATAATACCAAACACAAGTCAATTATATCCACGTGGACCGATATTATATAACAGGTACAGGTTTTAACCAAAAACCTAAGTATCTGTTGAACGTCAACGTATATATGCTGTTCCTAATGTTCCCATTGTTATTACTATTATTATTATTATTATTACCCTGGAGGGAGCCTTTTTTGCCTGTCACAGTTGGGCGTAGAGGGCCAGAGTTGGACCCACAGACTCGCTCAATGCCAGGCTGGGCTCTGTGCCCCAAAACCTGCCCGCTGGATACGCCGAGTGCACCCCCTGCCACCGTTCTCTTAACCACCTCTCCTCCAGCCCTGAGCCCTTGTGGAAGCCGCCACCAGTGGCCCCACAGCCCCACCTCATTGCCCCCCAGCAGAGGGTGCCCCATCACCCCTTTTGGGTCCTCACCGGCGCCATGCTCCGCTGCCAAGCGGA